TGAGCGAGAAGCATTTCCAAGAAGTTGAGTCCTTTAATTATTTCAGTGCGCAGAGCGTACAAGCTTCCTACCTGGGACATTCCGTTGGCAACCCCTACCTTTGGGAGCACCCCGAGGACTTGGGCAAAGCAGCAGATGACCTCATACCAGCCACGATTTGGCAATGGACGGAGATCCTGGATCTCCTGCTTGCTGCAGGTGCCCAGTGTTTTGCATTCTATCAGTGCCAGTTTGAAGCTCCATATCCCAAGCCAACAAGAGTCCTGACAGCCTTGCCTTACAAACCACAAGCAGCAGTGCTCAGGCGCGCCATCATTTTCCAAGACAGGCGTTTTTGTGGGGCCACTCCCCGCTCCATGCGCCCATGGAGGCAATCGCGAGCCTCTCATAGGCGAAGATCCAGTCACAGGTGCCTGGAAGACAGCCCCCGGCAGCCAGTTATCCACCAGCCGTGCAAATGGTTGGCAGAGACCATCGCGGCCTCCTCCTTTCATGACCTGGGTCCATCGCTGCAAGCAAAGGGGAGAGAGGGCTCAGACCTTCAGCAACAGCCCAGGGGGTCCGCTCTCCCACCTTTCCCTCAGTTCAGGTTTAGATTCAGCCCCTAATTTTTGGCTACTGAGCCACCATCCGGACAGGCCTCGCACGGAGCCTCCGCGCAGCCTGTTTCCTAAACTAGGTCAGGTTTAGGCCCCGCTGCCTCGAGGGTTCCAGCAGTGTTTAGTCAGCCTGCTTCCCACTCTAGTTCAGGTTTAGGTCCCACTGCCCCTAGATTACGTCAGAGCACTCTCAATCTGCCGGACAAGGCGCAACCACGGGTGATGCAGGCGCACAAGTGTCGGATCTGCCGGAGGTGCTTGCAAAAGAGCTCCTCGAGCAGCCAAGCTGTCAGAAGGCTGAGGTTGAAAGGCTGTTCGACATGCTTCCTAAAGAGGTTCCACCTAGGAGAGAAGGCGAAGCAGAGGGTTCTTCCTTTTCGACAGGATGCTACTCAAAAGGGGGGATCACAGGCCTGAGGCATAACACGACAGCGCACCCCATGACCACTAAGCTCGCTTGCCAAACATTTCCATCCATTCGCTTCACGACCCTGTCTCTGTGCGATGGGGTCAAGACTCCGATGCGTCGGGATTCTCGCAGCGGGCCACACCCGAATGGAGTCTGCCCGATAAGCAACTTCAGCGGAGGACAGATCTGGGTGGAGGAAGAAGGTGGTGACCTGGAGATGGATACGCCAAAAGGCAAGCGCAATGGCAGGTTGCTAGAGGTCGCAAGTGGCCCCGTCGTGTTGGAGGCGCGAACTTGTTTCCACTGCGCGCTCCCCTGGCAGGGGCGGAGGTTGGTTCTAGTTGCACACATTGTCACCGGCCTAGAGAGACTCTCAACGGATCATAGCGAGGTCATTTCGGGTTTAGGATTCCAGCTGCTAGATTTCTTGGCCCCAAGAAGGGGAGTGGCAGTTCACTTCAGACCTGAACTCTGCGCGGGAACCGTGGGGCACCGCTGCGCGTGGAGTGGGCGCCCATCACTGATGGTTTCGGGTTATGCTCCCCTGCCAGGTGGGCACCTTGCGATAGAGGTCATTCGCTAGGTCAGAAGGCACAGGCATTCGCGGCCAGGATGCACAAGGTAGCTCTGGGTTTTGTTAGGCAGCGCGCGGCAGACCCAGAGCGTTTATGCCATGCTTTACTCTTGGGCAAGCTGGAAGCCAGTCCCTTCAGTGCGGAGCATCTACAGAATGTCAGGTCCCAATGGGTCGGAGCCTTGGGAGTCAAGTCAGGGTGACAGCAGTCTACTCGACAAGCCAGATGGGCAACCTTTCTTCTTAAAGGCATTGTCCCGCTCGGCGGAGACCCGGACTGGCGGATTCTGACGGAGGGTCAGGGCTGCTTCTTGAGTGGAGTTCCGGTCGGGTTTGGCGAGACCATTGAACAAGTTCCGCAGGTCTTTGGCTTAAAGGAACATTTGCGCAAGCTTGATGAGTCAGAGCCGGACTTTGACAGAGCCAACTTTAAGAGCGCAGAGATGAGTGCCACCCAGCTGCTAGCCAAATTCAGGGAGGAGGAGAAGCTGGGCAGGATGAGGCCCACCACGATCGGTGCGTTGCGTGAGGACTACCCGGCAGACAGGATCAGGGTCGCCTCGATGGGCGCAATTGAGAAACCGGACCGGACGGGTCGGTGTACGACCGGTGCACGACAGGACGCACGGGGTCCTGGTCAACAATGGCATCCGTCTCTTGAATCATGTCTCTGTTCCGGGTCCGGCAGAAATGGCGTTTGCCGTGAGACAGGCAGGTTCTCAATGTGAGGTCCCGCTAGCAGTGGCAGCAGACGTCAGCGCTGCTCACAGACTGGTTCGCATCCGGGCATGCGATCACGGACTTCTTGCGTGCCAGTCAGTAATGATTCACCCACGATTTGGGTGAATCTAGTAGGCGCTTTTGGTATAAGTTCGGCGTCGTTCTGGTGGGCTAGATTATTTGGGATAATCGGCCGAACCGTGGCACGTTGCCTCCTGCAGCGCTTGTTTTATCAGTTCGTCTACGTAGACGACCTTCATAGTGATTTCTATGGTCGTAGAAAGTACGTAAATTTTCTGATTTGGTTATTTCTGCGTGAGATGATTGGCGCACCCTTCCCGTATCATAAATTCCGTGGAGGAACAGTCGTTGCCTTCATTGGTTATGAGGTTGATTATGGTGCCCGCTTGATCGGTCTCAGCGACACCCGGGGGCACTGCCTCATAACATGGGTGGACCAAGCCGAGCAGTCGCATTGGGTTGTTCAGGTCAGGAGGTTCAGTGAGTTCTTAGGGCGCTTGGGTTTTGTCAGTAGGCCCACTTGGCGCCTCTCTACGCATGGGGATCAGTCGCGTCCAAGAGCCCTGCCGCGAAGCTTCCAGACATGGTCATCCTTACCCTGCTTTACCTGCGTGAGACCCTAGAAAAGCTAGACTTTAAGGTTACTCCCTATAGGGTTGCCCCGTGTAGCGAGCCCCTCTTCTACACCGATGCAAAATGTGCAGATCAGCTTGTAGTTCTTGGGGGATGGGATGCACGTGCTCACCATTCCAAGTCCAAGTGGTTCTCGATCAGGTTGACACCAGCACAGGCATCTTGCCTTTTCGATCAGCAGGGCAGGTCACACTGGGCCTCAGCGTCAGCGGAACTCCTGGGGACGCTCGCCGGGCTCTGGGCCTTTGACCACTTGAAGCCTAATGATAAGCCCCGCCAGATCCCTGTGGTTCTTCCTGCGGTCACAGATAATCGCGGGAACGATTCCTTGATTAAGAAAGGTAGTTCCACTAAACTGCCGCTGATGTTGATTAATATGCAACTTTCGCATCTGCTCAGGGTGGCTTGCCTCACGTTGAACTTGAACTGGAAGCCGAGGTCGGAGAATGACTTGGCGGATCGATTTACTAACGAAGATTTCAGTTCCTTTGATTCAGCAATCAGGATCAGCTTCAGCTACGGTGATCTCCCACTGCAACTCTTTAACAAGTTGCTTGAGACTAAGACTCAATTTGCTTCAGATCGAAAATATCACTGTACTCAGACAACGACGGCCTTGCCCTCTAAGAGGCTCAAGACTCAGCGGTGACTCCTGTCGCCAGCAAGCTGGAGGGGTTGGGGATGCGACACGAGTTCGTATCCGGCCAGCTCACCGCTTGGGACATTTCCACCATGCAAAAAGACCGTTGCTTCCTCACATGTTGCGGTGATTCGAGTCAAATATATATTTGAGATTGAACCAAGATGTTATTCATTATAAATTTGAGTTATCCTCGAATGTGGATACAGTTTGAAAAATATTTTGCAGAGTTTTAGTTTGCTCACCCGGGTTATTAAACCCTCTCACTTGTGGGGATGCCGAAAACAGAATAGCGCGCGTGTTCCAAGAGCATACGGTGACCCAGAGCATCCATGCCCAAACCATAATTCCGTTCGTGCTCAAAGAGCATACGGTGGCCCAAGGCATCCATGCCCAAACCACAATTCCGTCCATGTTCCAAGAGCACACGGTGACCCAGAGCATCCATGCCCGAACCATAATTCCGTTCGTGTTCCAAGAGCATACGGTGACCCAGAGCATCCATGCCCAAACCATAATTCCGTTCGTGTTCAAAAAGCGCACGGTGAACCAGAGCATCCATGCCTAAAGGGCGCGCGTACTGGGCCATGGTCCAAGGGACTTCAGAGACAGACAGTGACTGGCTGAAACTGTAAGACAATGAACTTGCTGTGTCTTCCCCACCTCCATGCGCGCGAAACCACAGTGACAGCGCAATTGCCGAGATTTTTTTCGCAATTTTTCGCTTTGATGTTTAGCCTCTTTGAAGCCGCCGGGTCCAAAATTTTGTGCCACGTGTGGCCGAAGTTTCGAGGCTTCGAATTTTTGAGGTTTTAGTCGTTTTCGGAAAATCCCTTGTCAGGTGGGTTTCATCGTAAGCCGCAAGCCCCGACGTTTGGAGTTCAGATGGGAGGTCAAACCAAAATTTCCAAAAAAGGGTTTCGGGGAGTTGTGGGGGTTTCGGGGTCTTTGGGGGTTCGTGCGGGATTATGAATTAAAAGATCCGAACGCGACGCCGCTGTGAAAGTTGGTGCTTGATGGCATCATCCAGGCAGAGACCAGACCGGCGAACATTATGATGTGAGAACACAACATGTTGATGTGGCGCTACACGCCATGTGCGGCTGCAGCTGCGTATCATCAATTGTGCAATGCGGAATAGAATTCGTGATAGATTTGGCATGTATTGCTGTTTTTGTGTTCATGGCGGGTTCAGTATGCGTGTGATTACTTGGCTCCTTGCAGTGCAACATGGTAAAGATTTGCGATTGCACATGCAATTATGTTGGCTCCACGCACTGCAAGCATTAATTTCAGCTCTAGAGTTGTACTGTGGCATTCGCAGCCATGTACATGAACGGTGTGCAATTAACTCGGATTCGTTCATTGTCGTGGGTGCTTAGCGAAACCATGACAACGTAAGTGATGGCGGCATCTTGTCCACGGGCGACGCATGTCGACACAGCCTCACATTTTTTCGCACGATTGCTTCATTTGTGCGGGCAGGCGAAATGACTTTCCACCAAAGTTTCCACATTTATTTGCATTGAGCAGCTTGTTCATAATAAAGTCATAGTGGTTCACAACGGAAGCAAGATTCAATAGCAATGAAACTATTGTAGTGAACATGAACGTGAGTTGCTCAAGCTGAGGCTGCTCGGGCAGCGGGTTGTGTGCGTTGGCGGCGCATTTTGCCAGCGCCTATCTGGGCATCTAATTTGTTCTCAGCAAGGGTCAGTAATGTAAGTGTGGTGGTCGCAAGAATTGAAATTTCATTTTTTGATGCATGTTGAACAATTTCCGATGCTGTTCACACCAGTGACCTCGTTATCGAGGCCTGTTCTTTCTGAATTGTCCTCTTCGACTTCTTGTGTGCTGCTGGCTGCGGGCTTGGCCACTTCGTGAATGTTTCGCTGCTAAATACAATCCCCGTGTGGAAGTTTTGTTTGCCTACTGCAATTTTGTCAGATGTCAAGGCAGTTTGAATTTGACAGCGGTTTGCCTTGATGCATGGCTTGTCACATTGTGTTTAATGGTGAATGTCATGTGAAGTATACGGCGGTTTTTGGTCTGGTGCGTGATTCGTGTGTAGGGTTGGGAGTGTTTGGCAGTGCATGTAGATATGTGGCGTTTTTTTGTAGACCTCCAGGGGGTGTGTCCCTTTCATGTTGTGCTGAAGGTTGCCAATCCAGGACAGCTTCGACGATACTCCTCCGGGGTCGCAATCCTAGTTTTACTTGTTTGCATCCATCTGGTTCTGGGTTAGTGGGCCGAATCCTGTCATGAGCAAGAAACATGTGGCGGATGCGAATGGGGCAGGTAGCCAATTATTTTCTCTTGCTATGTGGCTCTCGTTGGGCACTACAGATTGTTTGTGGCCATGAGCAGCGCTGGCGGGCAGCATCCATCCAATATGACAATTGTGACATACATATATATATATATTTTTTCTACATGTGTAAGAATGCAGAATCTTGAGGCATGCGCCCGCACTTTTTTTCGATGTGCCACAGCTCCAACTTCATCCTTGCTGTACATATCAAGGATCCCGGCTCCTCAGCAGAGGGCGCACGGAGCACAACGCTGGGCACCAAGAGCCAGTTCCAGGATGCAAAGTGTCAAGTTACAATTTGATTGTGCGGGTTCATGACCATGGGCAATTGGATTCGTGTAGCTACAGGTTTGGATTTTCAGTTTCGTGGAGATTTGGCATGTGCTGCCCAGAAGGGAATCTTGACGATTTTGTTTTCCCTGTTTGCGTAGCGATGCAAGCAACTGTCACAAGCAGTGTTACAGGAATGCAGACAGTCCATCAACAAAGCCTTGGAGCTGGCTCCCACTCTTAGCCCCGATCATTTTGTGGTTCAAAATTGCTGGTGTGTGTAGTGGGATTGTTGCGTTTTGTCGAAATATCTCTGCGGATGAAGTCCCTTTTGTCTCCAGCACTACGAGAGTAACAAAAACATAACATTGGACGTCAGGCTTAAAGCTACACTAGCAGTAGCAAAACGTGTGGCTGGCATACCAAGATTCAGAGCACTTCATGACGATGATTATCTAATGGATTCCATAGCTGAAGGGCATGGAACTCAGTTCAGAACAGGAATGTGTGCATTTTTGTTATTTCCTGACATTCGCCCATAGGTGGCGACGGAAAGCCGGGCAGCTGCAGAGGCCGTGGTGGCAGATGGTGCAAAGTGAGAAACACAATTGGGGTGGTTTGTCTTTGAATAGGGCAAAGGCCTTGCGACTTGGCTTTTACACTTTAAGCATTTCTGGCGAGTTTGGCTTTGTAGTTTCTTGACGTGTTGAGTGCAAGAAGAGCACCACAGTTTGGATGTCAAGTTTCATTGCAAGCTTGTGATTGGCCAAAAAGATCTACTGGAATGAAACTGCATATTTCTGGCAGCCCAAAAACTTCTCAGCAAATCAGTGAGAGGTGTTTTGCTGTAGGGGCATCTGTGCCAAAACCAGATTGGATTGACTCGCAGATCCTTGGATGCTGACCCGGAGAACCCTCGTCGCCCCTTGGCAGTTTTTAAAGGCTGTGGACGAGATTGCAAAGGATGCTGGTTGAGGTTGCTCAGGAATCTCAAGGCATTTCTTCAAGCTCGCAGCTACTTGAATTGAAACATCTGAGGTCTGGCGGAGCTCTTGCGAGCTGTCAACCATTACGATCCCCAGCAGGTACAAGGGAGCTTCAAAGCAGCTCTGTGACGTTGTTTTGAATGGAGCTTCGATCTGCCTTTCTCAAACACAGATGTTGAGCAGCTTCTGAAGAAGCTATGAACCTCGGGAAGCGCTCGTGGTTTCTGTTGTGTCAAAGATAGATTTAGGATGTTTGCTCAAGATGATGTCGTGGACAATGTCCTTGTAGCTTTAGGAGTTCTGAACCCAGTTTCATGTATTGTTTTACAGAGAAATTGTTGGCATAACATTCTGTGCACGTGCATCTTGGAGGTGATCAGGATATTTGAGCAGCGCGACTCTCGTGTTGCCTTCGAAAATGCGGAGGCTGTTCGAGAGCCCGGCTCCCAGTTGATTCTTGCATGCGAACCATGCGCAGGAGTAGTCTCCCAGAACTTGAGCTCACCAGTAAAACACAAATTTTGTTTCCTGTCACATCATGCTGCTGACCCAAGCACTGCAAAATCGGAAGTGAACCTGCAGAGTGGAAATCGAAGCGGGAGGTACATCCGCGCTCTGGTCCTGGCCAACCGCTTGGACTATGTCGACCTAGACGTCCTCCTTGGCCGACAGTGGCGTGAGGCCAAGGTTTGGGGCCCGGGGATGCCTACACATTGTTCGAGTCATTTGTTGGCAACCGCCTAAGCCACTTACACATTGATCCATGAAGGAGTACATGAGCATAGGTGTTGAGGACGGGAACCTTGAAGCCACAAGGCTACTTCCAGAAGTATGGGACGGGTATTAGAAGAGTTGTTAGGTTGCCGTCTTGAAAAGGATATAAAAGGATGTTGTTCTGTAGCTAGTGTCTGTGTTGTCCAGAGGAAACTGATTGCTCAAAACGGTTGCGCAATCAGACGCTGTATTCTGCACTTTACTCAGCATTGCCTTGTCCGGTTCTGAAGGCTCCAGCCATGCCCACAAAGAAGGGGCAGAATCAGCTCACATCTGGCAAGCCAGAATCCTTTGATACCAAATGTGTGCCTGCATCGCACCTCTTAGGTTACTGTCTCCCGCCCGATTACCAACAGCAGCCCATGCCCTTAAGGCCCTTAACGCTTCCGAACAGCGTTGACAACTTTCAGTACACACTGCTTTGAATCGAGCTTCCACGTGCCTACAGCCCACCGCTCGAGCGAGGCACGTTGCTCATAGTGACATAGTGTTTTCCTAGGTACAGGCGAGAAGCCACTGGATTACGGTTTGATAGTGCGTTGCCTTTGTGCTGAACTGAAGCTAGTGAGCTAGTGCTGAAAGGCGCCCTGACGCACCTTGAAGGCCAAAGATCGCGCCACATGTTGTGCTCGCAGCGTTTGAATTTCAAGGATGTTGGAGGCTTAGAAGGGCAATTAATCCCCTCCCCCTTCATTAAACTTCCCCCACCCCCTGACATTAAATATTCCCATTGTGGTATATTATAGATATAGAGGGAGTGTTTGACATTAGGGGGGGTGGAGGATTTAATATCAGCGGGAGAGGATTATTTGCAATTCCATGCACTATTTTGAAGATTAGTTAGTGGTAGCCACTTGCCAGTAGTTGTCAAGGCGCCGCAAAGACGAGCGCTCGCGGTCCCCGCTGCGCCGGGCCGCGTTGAGCCCGGAGGAGCAAGAGGCCTCGTGCATCTGAGCTGCTTCTGTGGTGCAATGCCTTTCGCTGTTGCATGCTCTTGAAGTGACGTCAGACGATTCAGATGAAACTTGGGTGCTGTGAGAATTTGTTATGCTAATGTATTTTGTTCCTTCTTAGGTCTAACGTGTCAAACTGGCCAGCGTATGGGAGGCCGCTCAGGCTTTCAAGTGCCTCAAAAGGGGCATGTCTCTTCCAGAAGTTAGGCACAGAGATGCGACCCAAGTAAGTTGGTCAACAGCACCATCCGGTGTTGGTTTGGCGCACGGGAGGTTCTGGTGCTAGACCTTGAGTTTGAAGGTGAGTTTGCAGGTGCAGCTGTCGAGACTTCCCACTTGACTCATTTTACCCTGAAAGTGGACGCCATTGAAGGCCTTCCTTGCGCAGTTCGCGCAGCACTACTGGCTCCCACTAGATAGCCGCTTTGTCAGCCGTGTTTGTTTGAAATGTTTCATGCTAATTCTCTGATTTTGCAAGAGTGCCTAGGTGGCCTTGCGCCCTGGCAGGGTGCCCGGGCCGAGAAGGTGCAGCGCTTTCGTGCCCAGCTCTTGGCGGAGGCCGAAAATTGGGCACCGCATACCTCCACCTGAAAGATAAAAGCTTTTTGTTGCCAACCCTTCTTCTTAATGACGCTGGGTATGAAGCGTGTTGGAAAGATCACTAAACATTTTTGAAAGTCAGTCATTTTTGAAAGCCTGGCGAGGTTGAGGATGTTGTGGCCGATGCAGCGGATTCTGATCCAGGTTCAGTGCTTGTTTCTAGAGATGGGAAGGACTGGCTAGGTGGTGAGGGACACAAGGCGGTGGTCAAGAGCTTGAACGCATGCATTCCGGCAAACAGCCGACATGGTGCATCTGGAGCTAAACATTTCTTATCTTTGTGGACCCCTATGCCTGTGCCAGCTGACTTCGGGCCCCTTCTGGACTGCGCAGCGCTGCGGCGCAGTAAGGAGTCGGTGCTGCGCTGGCCTGCTGGTTGCACCAGTGTTGGGGATGCTAGGAATTCGAAGGGTTATGCGACTTCAAGGGAAAGAAGTTATGGCAAGCCTTAAGGACAGGACTGTGCCAGCTTTTCTGTCAGGGAGCAGGTGTGCTTAAGAGTTCACTGAAGCTGTGTCTGCGTCAGACCGGTTTTCTACTGCAGTCATTGCCGCAGGCAACGCTTCATTTTCCTGGATGACCTTGCTCGCATGAGTGTGCAGCTTACTCTGTCCTAGTGGGCAGTGCCATTCAGCGATGCTTTTGGTCTAGTTGTGTGCCTCGCTGCTTGAAGCAGGGGTAGAGCTGATCCCGATTCGGAGTAGCTTATCGAAGCGACACCTCTTTTGTCTTTTTGTTTCCAGGGCGGGGAGACATTTTTGTAGATGAAGGCCATGAAAGAAGAGCAGGGAAGAAAGACAGAAAGAAATCAAGAAAGCAAGAGAGCCAGCACGCAGAATCGAAGGAAATCATGGGACACAGAAAGAAAGAGAGACACCCAAGCACACGAGAAATAAACAGAGAAAGAAACACAGATAGACAAAATCGAGAAAGAAAGAACGACACCAACAAACATAGTAGTCATAATACCCATAGTAATCATAGCAGCATCGTAGTGGCCATCATAGTAATCAGATTGATCAAGATAACCATAGTACTTATAGCAGTGGTAGCAACAAACGAAATAAACGTGATGACAGTAAAGTTCCTACTAACACTAAATGTAACGCTGATAATACTAGCAGTAGTAATAACACATCACTACACATAGCGACTAATCATGTCATGCCGTTTAGTTTGTTTTTGGATGTTGATGCTAATCATTTGCAGGGGTCTTGGGCTGCAAGGAAGCACAATTTTAAGGAAGGCAACAGGGAGCAAGGAAAGAAGCAAGGAAGCAAATCAACAACTGCCACATCTTCTTTATACCTCAATGGTTTGCAAATGAGGGGGTTGCGCCCCTCCCGAACCCTTGCTTTTTTTGAAACACGGGCCCGTATCATGTCTAAACGCAAATCCTCATCAACAATTGCCATGTCTTTCGATGGTTTGCCCCCCACCCCCCCTCCCCCCCCCAATCTTTCTGAACATGAACCGCATTACGTCTGCTTTTGTCTACTAGTGAATCCTCATCAACTGCCACATCTGCCACATTCCTCAATGGTTCATAAATGGGTCCACTGCTCTTTCCAAACATGGACACGTATCATGTGTGATGCTTCCCTCATTAGCACCTCATCAGCAACTGTCTCAAGCATTTCCGCATTTCAGGTTAACGATCGAGGTCTTGTGTAGCTTGTTCTGGCATTCTGGAAGCACTTCTGCCAGCTGGCGTGGAATACGTGCTTGAGAAGCATGAGCGCTCGCGTACAGCATCCTAACATTACCTTATCATTTTTTAATCGTCAGTTTGAATTTATGACCCCCAGTTCTGAATTGTGATCCTGACTTGATTTCTTTGATGCACCATCCAATTGCGGTAATTGAAGACGAATAAAAACAACGCCAGATTCAACGGCAGCTAACACAACGCCGGCGACCGCAGGAACAACGGCAGCATCAAGTAACATTAATAGGCATCAGCAGCACCAATCAAAAACAACGTAACCATTACCATTCACATTGGCACTTGCATTAGCGCAAACTTTTCGCAACATCAATAGCATTAACAATCACGCTGGCATCAGTACTGCCATAGACATGAACATTAAAGTTAAGCTTAGCATTACGTAAGATGAACAGGAACATTGACATTGCCGCGAATACAACTTCCAGCCTACATAGTGCCCACAGTAGCTGACCGGTAATGTTAACCTCTGAAATAATGTCAAAGCAGAACAACAGGTCGGGGACTCGATGGTGACCATTCCGAATGCCCTAGAACCACCTCTTCTGACCCCTCAAAACACCCCTCCGCCACCTTTCCCTCCACCCCGACACCCCTCCCGCATTCGCTCCCCGGCATCATCCCTACCCTCCCACAACAGAAAGATAAAAAAGGGTACTAAAAGGATTCAAAGATGTCCACCCCTATTGAAGGCCACATGTAATATGACGCATGATAAGCAGAGATGAGGCGATGTCCTCTTTCGTGGCCCAATTGAGCCCGGACATGGTGATGAGGCCGACTTGCAGGTACTGTCTTGAGCACTTTGAACAAAATCTGCAGCTTGCATTGCTCGTTCCAATGCTAATTGATGCCAGTCAACCGTCAGAGGATTTGGCCTGCTCCACTATCATCGGATGGCCAATTTTACTATCTGGAGGTCTCTGGGCTCCAAGCGAAAACGCAGCTGTAGTCTTCTGCCATGAAAGCGCATCCTGTGATGCCGGATCAGCGGCGGCGACCTGCTGTAGCGTTGCCAGTGCTATGCTCAGGTCAAGATCAGAACATAGCTGATACCACTGTTGATACAACAGCGAAGAGGCCCCCCCATTACTCCCCGATCAACATTGGCCCCCCAAGCGGACGAAACTAGGCATACGTGAATGATAGATAGGCTGCGCTGCATGAATCAGCAGCTTACAGGCAGGGTTCGGATTTAAGAGCATGGGGAGCTGTTTAGGTCATTGCTGCGCTACTTGGGATCGAGCCATCTGACATCGGGCGGTTTAAGGGGAATTCTTCCAGATTCATGTGCCGCAGTAGATCTACACACACACGCATTGTTGGACAAGGCTTTGTTAGTTTTGTGTTTTCTACAGCGTTGGAAAGGGCTGCAGCCCATGTACAAGCATTACTGACTATTGACCATGGAACAACTGACAGTGACTAGGCAGGGTTCTATGGTACTTTCCGGGGCGGCAGAGCTGTGGACTTTGGGTGTATATCTCTTATCATATGAAGTAGGATTTCTATTGTATTTGTGAGTATATATTTGGTGTCCAATGTGGGGGGTCCATGCATTAGAATCCTGTGTCTGTTATGGAAATCGTTGTACCAGTGTACCCATGCCGGCCCATGCCCTGTCCCCACCGATCTGAAACCAGCGTCTACATGGTGAAGCACAGGTCAAACAGCCCGAAATCTTTGTAGATCTCTTTGCAAACCGCAGCCTCCGCAGCCGAACATGCGCTTTCATGGCTTGCTGTGTTTGAGCTGGAAGCAGTGTCTACATGGAGATCAGCGGCCAAATCCCCAGGTGCGTATCGTTTCCGGTCCCAGCGTCTGCAACAGATGATAGGAATTCTCGGCGAGTAAGGTGAGCTAACCCCACCCCTTGTCGCTGGCGAGCCATTCCACCCATTATTTCATATAATTTCCGCAATCAAGCAATTCATTTTTGACCAAATCTGCCTCAAGGTTTCAGTCTTGCAAAGAACAGTATGTAATCCCCATTTTGCGAAGATGTCCCCGAACAAATCAAACCTGATATGGCCTTAACTCCTTGACCTAGCCTCAGGTATTGGCTTTGATGTGCAGCTGCTGGTTTGAACCTCTGAGTTTTTACCAAGCCTCGCCCAAACCTGAGACAAAGGATTGATAATTTGTCGTTGCCCAGTGTATTTTTGAAACCAAAAAAGGTTGCCACGTCGAAGTGGCCGAGCACGCCACGCTGCAAGGGCTCCCTCGGTGCCTGAGGCTGATCAAGGCGCGAAGCAAGCTCTAGCTGCATCGCGAGATGCAGAGCTAGCAGCAGCTAGCACTTGTGAGCGGTGGAGATCAAAGCAAGACAAATCCCGATGCATCGGCGTGCAGGACCGCAAGTGCACCACTGCTTCATGAAGGATACAGCTGAGGCCCGTTTACTTGCAGATTTTCTGGGCTTGGACAGTTGTAGATTTGGGATTGCTGCAGCGACCTGGTGGCACGGCCACCCGCCTGCACCGTGAACTCAAATTGGCTGCAGGAGTACATTGTCCTCGGAAACGCGTTTGACGCACAGCTCCTGCAGAGGTGTGTGGCTAAGAGTCGTATCCAGGGTTCTGGCTCAAGACAGATCATCTTGGCCTGCCTATTCTGATCACATGTATCGGTGTGTTTGGCCCATCTGGCCCTCTTGATGGCTTCGCATGCAGTAGGTTGCAGCTTGAGCTGAACGAGCTGGACCTGGAGGCTTTGGGATGCGGTGATGGCCTCACATCAGCTGGAACGGCCCATGAGAGGAACTTGTGGCCCACTACCGCGAGGAAGCCGGCGAGGAGCCAATGTGGTAGGATGGATGGGGTGCTCTTTTTAAAGTACTTTATATTCAGTCGATTCAGGATGAGGAAATCTCAAACGAACGCTCAACGCTCGGCGCGTTTGTGGATGCCGGGCCCCAAGCCATGCGCCCTCTGAATCTGTTGCTCGGTTCTACGCGAGCAGAATTGCCAATGGCTGGTCATCAGAAAAAGGCTTTTCAAGTTTGCAGAAGGAAAGGGAATCAGGTTCGAACTGCTGTTAGCTCACAGTTTTGTTGAACTGACAGCTTGTCACTTGCCAACCTGCTGATTGATTGCATTTGCAACCATGGTTTTTGTTTGTAGCATGCGAGTTCAGCCTAAACCTGCAAGCTGGAAGTGCGTGAGCTTCAGGTCCGACAGACGCCCTGGCTGGAGGAGCACACGTTCCCTTTGTGTACGAAATGGAAGTTGTGAGTCTAGAACTTCTCGCAAATTCAGCAGCGTTAGGGTTACTCCGGCAAGGATCATCTTCTCGGCCTTTTCGAGGCTGTGCGAGGGCGCTGGCAGCTTCCTGAGCTCGCAACCCGGCCCATCCTGGCAGTCCAGCATGGCTTAGGCGTTCCGTCCTGTTAAGTATACTAGCTCAATACTTGTGCTTTACATGCGACACTAGGATATGCCAGAAGTGGCTCAGTACTGCGTCTACGGGCCTGAGGATCATTTCGTGCGTATCTCAGCGTTTCACCTTGGCATTGGAGTGAGCCCCGCGGCTTGTGAAAGTGCTGCGTGCTGCAGATCTCTGAGAGAGCAAATATGCCCTCGGTTGCAAAGGATTGGCACCGGGATCAGCCAGAGGTAGCCCCACCACCTGCACGCCGTCTCTCTCTGGTGCCCTTCCTGCAGCAGGACTTGTTGTCGTTGGTTTGTGTGATTGCTGTTGTGCTGCATAGTGTCGAAAATTGGAAAATTGAATCCAGTATAACCCAGTATAAGTAATTAACGCAAGGTGGCCTTCCTTCAATTTTGTACAGCGATTCATCCTGATTCAAAGGGTGCAGCATGTTTTGTCGGAGCAATAAGGCACGACACTGAAGTGGCTGATTGTGGCCTTGTGCTACGGGCTGATTGCAGAACTCTCAGGTTCTGATGCTGTCAGCACCGGGTGATTTTGCGGGAGGTGCATCGGCTTCCATACAAAGTATCAGGATAATCAGAATATGTTTGTGCATCAAATCATTCAGTTGATCCAGGACCTTTAGCTAGCAGAAGTATCTTCAGACGTGTGCGGCCAGAAGCTGACAAGCGAGCTGACAAAATCCAGGTGCTTCGAATCGCCGAAGTTAAATCTTTACACCTTCGCTACATTTTGTCAGACTAAACGAGCAGGTAGTTTGGAGCTGAAGACCAATGCCGTCGTTCGGCCGAGGTTTGTGCTGCAGTTAGGGATTGCAGGTTGAGACCGGTTGCAGCTTGAGTGTCAGAAACGGCCTGGAAAGCCCTTGTCATGGCACGTGAGAAATTGCTTTGTGCCTTCGGCCAGGCTTTGTGCTGGGGATGCCATCATCTTCCCCTCTGAGATCGTGGAGCACCGAGCTGCTCAGCTCTGTTTGTCCGAACTCATCGTGACACGCTTGAGCAGGAAGCAGGGTTAGGTTGAATGATTCTCAGATTCGTGGCATTTCGTGACTGTAAGCCAAGGTTGCTCGTGTGGAGACTGGCATGCGCCAAACTCTGGTATGCTGGGCTTATGACGCCGTGTAGGCCTTCTAGGTTTCGGCTGGGCAAAGGTTACTCGAATGCCCGGCTGAACTGGAAATCGTGGCATGCATGCCATGCTGCAACTGGGAATGGCCCTCACAGTGGAAGTTCTTGTATGACGGTGCCGTTGCCGAAGCCTGAGGAGAATGAACCGTGGACGACTTAGGTGGTGGCGGAGGATTGACTCACCTCTTGTCAGATTTTGCAAGAAAGCGCTGGTTCGCATGGTGGCACTCAGAGAGACTGGAGCTAAGAGATATCCGCTGCGAAAGCGTGATTAAAAATGTGGCTTCCTGGTGGTCTCAACGCCTCGCAGCTTCCTTTCGACGGTCTCGGCAGCACATTTGCGTCGAGCGGCTGCGGCTGGCTTCGGGCTTGCCAATTTGGATTTGAGAGACCAGGTGCATGAAAGAATTTATGCTGCAGCCCTGCAAGAGTTGGGCGTGGAAAACTTGAGGTCCCAGCCAGCCTTGAGTAGCCCTGGCACCTACCTCGTGAAAAAAATCAGCACTTGCTCACGAATTGCATAGCACAGCTTTGGCATATGGCCACTAATCTTCATGGGGAATCACTCATGAGCCTCATTCCCAGATTCCCGAGCGAGACCTGCTGTAGCCTGCTGACAGATGGACTCGCGGCTCTACGATGCCTGGCGCCGCCTCCGGGCCATGTGCCGCTGACATTGTTTTGCGCAGGGTTTCAAGGCTTACTCAAGGTGAATCGTGGCTGGCCCATTGCTGCTGGCAGAAAAGCCTTGCGGACGTGTTGCAGCCACACCGACTGCGACAGTTTCATAGTGGCACGTTGCCAGGATTCCAGACATTGGGGAGTTTCAGGCGCTCACCGCAGAATTCCGAGTCTCCGCCGTTAGGGTGCTTGCCTATGCGGGCTGCGGATTGTTCTGTCCTGGTGCTTAGATTTGCCTTTCAAGCGGCTTGTTTTGAGGTCTCCGCTTGTGCTTTCAGAGTGAAAGGACTATAATGTTTATCTCGCATTAATAAATGACCCCCTCCCCCCTGCCCCCCCCCTTGATTGATCTATCTGCGTTCTGGCGGAGCCCCGGAATAATGATGCCAAGGTTTGCAGGGCTAATTCGAGTTAATTAGAATCTAATCAAAATCGTTGTCCAGCAAAAAATGAGCCTTTGGTCCTTGGTGGAGTTTAGAATTTTGGGGGAATTGGAATTGTGTTTCCTGCGCTGGGATTTTATAAATGTTATTCCTAATGTGAGGTTAACATCAGACTGGAATGATGATTGAAGTGCACAGGACCATTAGTTGTTCTGAGACAGGACCGGTTGCGGGGCTGAAAACTTGAGTTGGGTAAAAGAAGATGGTGCTGAGTACTTGCAGAATTCGGAGCCTGAGCTGTCCCTCCAAGGTGGCCATGATGCTGGAGACCGGGAGGCTGGTCACCCAGAGCTCAAGTCCTGACTTGTTCTTGCATTCAAGGGCACAGCCACAGGCTGCTCCGCCAGCAATTTGAATAAGATTCAAGATTGTGCTTGATTGGGACTGCCCCTGGCTATGCGAAGGCCTTTAGAAGCAGCAGCCTTCGATGTCGACTTTCGGCTTCCAGATGCCAGGCAGTTTGACCAACACTGGCTTCGGGCTAGTTACTCACTTCTTTACCTCGCCCCTGAAGCTACGCGGGCCGGAGCCTGTGTAACTGCGCACCAGCTCCTTCAGTACTGGCAGCAAGCAGCAAAAACCTCTACAGCGGATTCAGGCAAGGTTCCGGTTCCAAAATTTCAGTCCCTTGTTTGTGCGCTGGGTCCTAGTCACACTCTGGAGGTGGGACTGTCAAACTACAGACCAGTAGGAGGTTCTGAATGTGAGGGTAACATCAGCATGTTGATGTTAATGTTTTGCCTCTTATGTGAGCGGTTGTCGGCCGCAGTTAATGATCCTCTTTTGGCTGGCACATGTGTGTCCATGATGCCGGGCCCTGGGGAGAGCTGAAGACTAGCATTGACAAGGTTTTCCCAAGTTTCTGCTTTTGGCGAGCCTGGATTTTCGTGGTTGGCCTGGGTGTGGGACTTGCTGTGCTTGGACAAGGCAAAAGTTGCGTTTGTCATTAAGCAGTCATGAATGAGACCTTGACTGCAGCCTGACAGGACCTTGTCTTGCTTGCTGTCTTTGCGTTGCGAGAAGGATGATGCGGAGGAGCAGTTGACTGCTTCATGTGTTGGGTTATTCCCATGGACTGTCGATGGCTTTTGTCTGAGTAGCTCTCCATGCAGACTATCCCTGAAGCTAGATGAGTTGAAGAGGTCTGCAGCAGATGCATTTTCTAGCCAATGTGGGGTCGAGGAGCTCATGGAGCTTTATCGCCTACTCTGCCAGAAGCTTCAGGCTGGTACTTACAGCCACAATGAGATGGCAAGAACTATTGGCTCATTCGTGCACAGGGAGTTTCTGGCCACGCCAGGCTTTGTAATGCTGGTCTAGCACTTTGGGTAAGGTGTCCATGCAGACTCCATTCCAAACGTAATTACATCAGCGTCGTCTCTGTGACATTGGTAGCATGCTCAATCGCTGGCGGATTTTCATAGCAAACATTTTCATCTTGTCTTCCAGGGCCTCAGTTGTGCCGGCTGTCACGAAGCATTCGACGAGAGCAATGCGCCAAGCTTGTTTGTGAAATGATGAAAAGGATTTGGTGCTAGTATGTACAAGCGATGTCATGCGGATGCACTCTTTGTTGCAGCCACTGAGTTTGTCACAATGCCACCAAAAGCATTCGTGATGATGATGATGATGATGATGATGATTATGACGACGTGCCACCAAAGGTCTCACCCGCAGTCCGGGCTGCTGTCATGATAGTCATGCTACCAGTCTGGCTCAAGACAGAGCCTTCGTCAAAGATTACTTCCGTGCACACCCACAAACATTATCATGGATTTGATCACGTTACCTTCATCAAGCAGCAACAACATGAGCCCAACGCATGACTACCGTTAGTACTGATGCGGGGAAGCTTTTGCACTCAGCTAGCAAAAGATGCTGGCGCACTCCCTGACGCTTGGACATGCTTTGCAATGCAACAGAAAGCCTGTCAAAGAATTTTCATCCTCTCTGGGAAGCCTTCAAACATGCAGCCGGTGTCTGGCATTTAAGAAGGGTTCAGGCTGCGGGCACTTCTCCAACGCGATTTTATTTTACCTTTGTTAGTTAGATACTGTAGGCATGGCCCGGGCTTGAGAGTCGCGGACGCCATGGCGCCAAAGGCAAAGAAGGCAGCTGCTAAGAAGCGTGGGCCTTACTAAAGGTCATTTTTTTTTCCGAATAATTTCGTTGGGCAGCTCAAATGCATTTTGTGCGAAATTGTTTGGTAGTGCCGCTGTGCCATTTCTTAAAACGTCGACCAGCCACAGCAAGGATTTACCCGTTTCTGAATTCCTTGCCATTTGTGGATGTTGGCTTTGTGCATGGTATTTGAGAGGTTGGTTGGCATCTGATCTTAAGTGCAAGGGACACTTCCGAGCTGCATTTGCTGTTTGGGATCCAGGGAGCTCGTCCAGAGAGACAACGCGGGCTAATTATCAAGGATTCCCTACCAAGGTGGTGCGTTGTTGCTCTGCGGGTTGCCCCGCTTGTAGTTGCAACTCGGACCAGAGTTGTCCAATTTGGCCCAGGGTGGAGCCACCAGAGGTTAAATGGCTGCTGAAGCAGTTGGAGGCTCCTCGGACTGAGCTTTGAAGGAGCGTGAAAGAGGTACAAGTCGTGCATCCTGAGCCAGGCACTTGAAAAGCAGGCTGAAGGAGCTGAAGCGTGGCTTCAAGACGCCCACAGATGGCACAAGGTACGGCGGGATACGGCGGGTTTGGCCTTCGGTTTGGGGTTGAGGGTGTTGTTAAGTGGCTGCAGGAACAACTGCTGGAGTTGGAAGAGCGCCTCCGGTGCCTGGGCTCAAAGCAAAGAGATTTAATGGCTTAGCGCAACATAGTACAAGATGGTAATGGCCAGCACACGCCTAATGGGTTGGAAAGGTCTGGTGCTGTACTGAGCCTACCAGAAGACTTCCGTGACGGCGCGCCTGGGCTAGAAAGATGAGGTCACGAGGTGTTATCAGTCTGGCATTGAAGTCCAGAGATTAGGGTTGTTCCGGTTTGCGCCCAGTATGTATTCAAGGTGGCAATCGCTGGAGGTAGGTAGTGTGAGTTTCATTGGCCAAGAAGGTCAAAGCTTCATGTTTTCAAACAAAGTCAGCAAGTGTCCTTTGAAGGTGGAATTCTACATATCCCAACTGGCGGACGACCCAAGCATCAGTCAGGCGATCCGTGCTCTGGGTCGTAAGCCCTGGCCATGTCCATGCGTGCACGTGACAGAGGAGGCCTTTTACGATGATCGGGAGCTTTACTCTGCGCTGCTGACGCAGACACCGGCGACAGCTGAACAGGCCACAGAGTACAACAGGTGGTCATTGTCTGGGTGTGAGTATCCCTACAATTTTTGGGATCCTTTGCAGAATGTTCGCAACCATGCTTCTGTGCAGCAGACGTGTAAGACGGCCTGGGCGTGTCTAAAGCCAGGCGCAGCCCTACGAGAGGGCCGTGGACTCCGAAGAGGCATCCCTAGCAATGAGCATCGCACAGACCGCGAACGACCCGTTGATTCCCTCTCTTTGATAGGTCCGTGGGAGGGGGGGTCACTGTGGTCTTCTTCTGAGTCCGGGCCGAATTTCTGAAACTTCGGGGGCCAGAAATAGGTCTGGGAAGGCATGTTTCTGGACGCCAAACGAAACTGAAGCCTTAAACATGTTCACACCATAGGAGGGAATCCCGTTGGGATGGTAGCTACAGCAACAAGCACCTCCTGGTATCATACTGAGAATGCTTGGATTTGGCTCGCAGGCCATGTTCTGGAGGCCAAGTGCACTTGAGCAAGTACGGATTTCCGCGCTTTTTGTATCCAAATGAATACTTGCTCAAGCCCTTCACCTTTGTCACATCCCTGCCTTGAATTTACTAGACACATCTCTGCTTCAGTTGCACAAATCCCGCGCGAGTGTCTGCAATCGCTAAATCCCTATCCAACTTTTCTCAAATCCATCGCCATCTCTGGTCTCAAATTTCTATCCTACAACAGATTCTCAGCCAAAAAAGTTCCAGAAGGACATCTGGAGAATGAGATCTAGCAGCATGTAGAACTCCGCCGCAGGCCTTGCTTGCCCTCGAGAAGGTCAAAGCATGGTCAGAGACCAGCCAGCCAGCCCAGTTTACCGCATCGGGCAAGATAGCCTTGGATACTTTCACCTTCCTTAATGCGGGCTAATGGGGGGCTATTCATTTTATGCGAATCTGCAAGGGCTTTGTCTGCGGTGCAGCAAGGTCCACATGGCATCACTAACTTTGCGAAGCTGCTGAAGGCACGAACTTGCAGTCAACAAAGTTTTCTTCATGTTGTAATTTAACTGCTAACGCGAGCCTCTCCCCCTCCCTCTCCCCCCCTCCCTACCCATCCCCTCCCAAACAACATTTTGGTTTGGAGCTTAGGAGGAACCTTCATTTCGGCCCCCCGCCAACCTGCGCGGAATCCAGACAACCGCCCGACAAACCTGAAAAAAAGAGCCGATCGCACCCCCAGTGGGTAGGGGGTGGGTTAACTAAATGCCCCAGGCCTCCGGCCTCAGCGGATATATAAGGAAAGCTTTAAATTCTTCTGATTCTTCACACTTAGGGCAGGACTGTGGACCGTCCAGTTCAAATGTCAGAAGGGCTTGTTGTTCTTGCCTTGTTGCACTTTGTTTTTTTTTTTGTGCCTCCCTTTCCACATCCCGTCCTTCTCTCCTGCCTTGATAGGCGCATGCAGCTTCGGCCAGTGTGCAGGAGGCTGGGCTAACACGGCACCTGGGACAACAGACTCATGTTTTCATGTAATATTGATTTGGACGGTTGCTCCACGAAGCCATTGCTTTCTGAAGACTTCCGGCAACAACGACATTTTTATTTACAGCGCTCATTGCATGGCCTTCAGATGCGCCTCAGATTGCCTTTGTAAATCAAACTTTGGGTCTGGGGCCATGCAGGGTGACATAGGGTGACACGCTCGTGGCATTGCTTTCCAAGTCTTCGACGCTCACCTTTTCAAACTAAGGAGCAAACGTCAGTCATCTTAACATGACTGCTATGACCATGTCCTTCCAAAGTGCTGAGGCTCGGTGGCCTCCTGGCCGGTGGTGGCGGTGCAGGCTTGGTGCCGGGGACGATTCTACCAGCTCCTTGCCTCGTGAGGGCAAAATCCACTGCAGAGGACCTTGGCTACTGCAACATCTGCAACTCAAGCTAAGATCATATTCACAACCATGGAGCGATTCGAGCAGGATGCGCAGGTGGGGAGTTGTTGAGCTTTTCGTGTAAATAGCCTTTCTGGGATGCTCAACCAGAACTGAGCTGTGAAGGTCCAGCGACAGGGCTGCAGCGCCCTGCGTGCACTGGCGCTGCAAAGCCCAGGACCGGTGCTGGACGCGGCCAAGCGAACTTTATTTTGTTTCTTTGGGGTGCTTTCTCGAGAGAAGTAGGGGTGAATAGACGAGTCATATCAACAATGCGGCTGGGATCCCTGATCTGATCGGTTGACAATGTCAGAGGGCCGTTCAATATTTGATCCTACGTTTTTGCGATATGAGTGTGGGACTGTCACAGTGGAAAACGTGCTTCTGCTGTTGTGTCGGATTCTCAGGCGGGTGGGGCAAAGAAGATTTCTGACGTGATGAGGCGACACATCAGGCTCAGCCGTGACCCGCCTCTAGAACTCTCTGTGGTTGGGCAGGACATGTGGTTGTGGGTGCGGCCCGAAATTTTGCCACTTTCTAGGTTTTCCTTTGGTTTTCCGGATGCTTTGTTTAGAACGGGCATCAAGGCAGGTCCAGAAAACAGAGATGAGATATTTTTGGAGAATTCAAGCACATTGCAGACAGCTAGTTCAGCAAACTCGGAGATGGAAATCTCGGAGATGGAATTCAGAAGTCAGGGAAAATCGTCAACATAAACAGGTTCCTCCGATCCAAACAAATAACAGTTGACACCTTTTTTGTTGGAAAATGTGAAAACAATGCGGAACACAGGAATACAGCAAATGCCGCGGACAACAGCACTTGTCTATCAATAGTCTATCAATTGCAGGCTTGGGACATGGTTCAACATCGTGTTTCGTTTGAAGTCCATTGACAAAGACAAAGATTACTGCACAGGGTTCGCAGGGTTCATGTTTGGGGACTTGTGTTCGATCCATCCTTTTGCCATGAGGACGGACCTCCTCGAACCGTAAAATGCTGAATTGTTCTGTCAGAATTTCCCATGCTTGTTTCTTTGTGGAGGTTCAGCATTCCATTCCTCTCAAGCTTGGCGTTTGCAGGACATGTTCACACGTTTTGCAGATCAATTTTCGAAACTTCAGAAGCACAAGCAGTGCGGTCTGCTGGAGCATACTTAAGAGCCTCCGGCTCAGTCCGCCGACCGCGGGAGCGCAAATGGTGAGGGCCGCGGGGCAGGGGCATGGTCGCAACGACGCCGCAACAACGGACCCGCAGCCCAGGGCGCGTTGTTCGTCGTACGCGCATGACGCGATGTCAGTGACGCGTGATTCT